GTAACAGGATATGTTTTATTTATATTTGATGGTTAGATGATCTTTTCAAATTATAAAAATATAACTTCAAATAAAATGAGCATTCTTCTGTATATTAGTCAGTTATGTCATCAGTCAGTCATCAGTCAGTTATATGCCATGCATGATACATGCTTAGGCCTCGTCAGTCAGGTATTGAAAACTACCTGACTGACGAGGTAGATTTTTTTCGCAGTATGTTGCCATTTCTTTTTGCAGTAGACTAGTTGCCACCCAGTCTGTCCTGCTATTTACCTATAACTGGAGGGAGGATTCATACCTTTCCCAACGGTATTTACACGTAAGTGAATGTAATGGATTTTAATGGAATTCGAACACGGTTCTCTGATTTCTCAATCCGAGCTGATATCCATCACTCCACCATAGTCAAATCAATGTTTCACATATACTTAACTAATTCAAATTGATATAGAAAAATAAATCATGGAATAAGGCCAAAGGGAGATAACTGTGTTGTTCATTTAAACTTAAATTGTATAGATACAAGTTTTATTTTTGGTCATTACAGGTAAAAAATACAAAAAAAAATTGATTGTTTAAGCAAGTAGACAGATTCTGATAAAATTTACCAGAATTTGATTTTTTCCTCTTCTATTGAATTTTAATTAGCAGCTACAGGGAAAATTCATTGGTGACAAAAATAACCAACAAAAATTGAAAGCTATCTTAAAACTGACAATACTGAGTAAGTGTGATAGTTTAAGAATAAATTGTTATCAAGCTTAAAAATAAAAATACTTTCCATAAAATTTGTAATGTTTATAAATCTGAATGTTTTTTTCAAGAAAAACTTATATTTTATATAATTTTTTGGTTTGAAATATGTTTTAAAGAAGTAATATAACCTTTTCTTTTAAAATGAACTGGAAACAAGGAAAAATTAAAAGAATAAAATATTGAATAGGGATTGTAGACATTTTTATTTCATACAGAATTATTTACTATTATATCCTTAAACTAAATTATAGCAAGTGATGAAAAGTGGATACTTTACACTGGAATTCAAGACAACATAGAAAAAACAAAATAAACCATTACTAACAATACCAAAGAATGATTTTCATTTTAAAAAAGTGTTGCTATTTATAAAGGGCATCTGAAATGTCATCCTATACTAAAATCACCTACTATTAAACCAAAAATGATTGATTCTACCTCATTTACTACATTCAACAGATATTTCACCTTTGGATAATTATTTATTCCAGTTTTTGCAGAATTCTTTAATGAAAACATTCAATTTCATAAAAAATTCAAAAGACATAAAACAGATTTGTTAAGAAAGATAAAATATTTTGAAATAATGCAATTATAAATTTGGCAAAAAATAGTTGAACAAAATGGTAAATATGTTGTTTAATCAAGTTTATGTTGTTTTAAACGATTCTATTTTTATTTAAACTGAACCTAATTTTTTATATTACTGAATAAAATTTCATTATCACTGGTATCATCATTTTTAAGATTTCTTCATTGTAACAAGAGTTTTCCATTTAGAAAATTTCATCATTCTCTAATGAGTTTCATTTGATTTTAAAGTAATTTATCTCACAAGAATGTCAAATCCATGATGTCATATTCAGACATGATGTCTCCTTGAACTCTGATGTATTAAATCTTTGATGTTTTTACTTCTATTAGGTAAGCTAGGATTAAAAAATGAAACTTGTGTATTAATCAAAAAGACTAATCTGTAAATACCGCAAAGGCAGTGGCGTAGCTAACGGGGGCGAGTGGGGCGGACCGCCTCGGGTGCCAGCACAGGAGGGGTGACACAATGTCACCCCCAACAAAATTTTTCAACCAGGCTAAGCTGCCAAAAATAGTCTGAAAACAGTGGTGGAGACCCAGGGTTTCGCAGGCCTGCATATGAGCCCCCAGTTTTGTCCCCCCACCTCCGTCAGAAATTTTCTAATAAATTGTCGGGAAATTTGTGAGTAGGAAAAATAAATAGCAATGTTTTCAGCTTCCATGTGTTTCAGTTGCTACAATCTTGGTTACTAACAAGAGACATTGTTGTAACATTTTATCGGGTGATATGGTGTTTTAACTCTGCATCATTAATAACAACAAAGCGAAATCCGAAGCCAAAAGTGCAACAATTTCAGTCTTGCCTGTGTGTCAATTCGCTGAGATACAATTTTCCATTGAGTGAGCGATATACTTTTGAATATATCTACCAGTGTTGGGACGATTAATCGGAATCAGAATCGAGAATCAGAAAAATCGGAGCTTTTTGGGGTATCGGAAAGGAAAGGGTATCGGAATCGGAAAAATTTGTGCCTATTTTTCGATTCCAAAAATGATTCTTTTAAATTTTTAACTTAATTTTCCATTATTGGTACTAATGATAAATATTTATTGTTTTTAAATTATCATTAAAACTAAAATCATAATAACATCAAAATACGATGTAAATTTATTTTACTTGTAAAGAAAAACAAAAAAATAAACTTTGCACAAATTCTCTAGGTAACCTTTAAAAGAATGCAGTTGATTTACAATGTTCCGAAAAATGCTTAAAAATTAGAACATTTTTGTCAAGAAAAATAATTTCAAACATCATTGATAATTAAATGGTACCCAGAAAATGATGCAACAGAAAATTACGTCAACCATGAGCCAGTTGGTTTTATTTCTGCATTGAAAACGAGCTTACAAGACAAACAGATTTTGACGATGTCATTGACCAGTTTGCGTTTGCCACAATGAAAACAAGAAAACATTCATTCTAAGACCATAGTATCGAATGTCATTCTTTTTTTGTGTATTGCCGTGTTTTGTATTTAGTTGTTCTGAAAGTGAACAGTTGCATTTTAAAAATCTTTTGATTTGAACTGATTATTTTGTGGTATTGGATTTTGTCGTAGGGACGTCCCAGGTAACGCTAAAAAAAAGTGGTATACCCTGGAGAAAAAAGGTCCCCAAATTGATAAAAAAATTTTAACGTGTAAATGTTTATGTTAAAATTAAACAGGGAAGACCAAAGTATTTTTTGAATATTTTTTCAGATTTTTTAGTCCTTCCTATAAATCTTTAAAATTTTATTTAAAAATCTCGTTTTTCTTGAATAAAAAAAAACTAGTAAATTCGATTTATCGGCCATTTCTGGCCGAATTTGTAAACAAAAAATCAAAATTAGTTAAAAAATCAATTAAAATTCAATTACACCTTTTTTTTTTTTGTTATCTTAGGAAATTTAGAATGATTAAAGTATACTTAATGTAATTTGAAAGAAACATTACTTACTTTTTTAGCAGAAAAATTTTTAATAGAGATATTTCCAACCGTGGTGCTCGCGCGAGTGAGTGATTGAAGGGTGTTAATTGATGGGTGTCAATATATTGACAACTTACGTCAAGGGAATTTATCGTACGGTAGCGCAGAAGTGATGTAATTCGTTCTACATTTTAAGTGAACCTGGTTAGTAAATTTAAAAAAAAAAAATAACTTTCAATTTTTTTTTTTTTTTTTTAACCTTACGTTTGAAGAAAAATTTCTGCACTGAAAATAACATTTAAATTGTGAAAAAAATCAAATTTTACAAGTAAAAATGAAACAGTAACAACATTTTTTTAAATTGAGTTATACATATTTTATTTATGAACAAAATTAATATTGAAATGCTATGCAATCGATTTCAAATTTTGCTTTGTTGTTAACTGAATGAATGCAAAGTAATTTCTGAAGTAAAAAAAACTTGCTTCTATCTAGGGAAACAACTCTACCTCACGTGACGTTATTTCAAAGTTGTGCATCCATACTTTCGTTGGAGACGATTTTAAATACAATTTTGGAATATTAAAAAATTATTTTAAAAATATTCACGGTTGTCAGATTTTAATAAGCTTTCAAATTTATGATCTATAAGAAGTAGAGAACATAATATGTCATTTCCACAAGGCTTCATAAAGAAACTTAATTTTAAAATATATAACAACATTTTGTCATATTGTGTATTTAAAATAGAAAAAAAAGAAAAAATTATTGTAAAAATTCATTTTTCATCAAATTTTTTTTTTCCAGATAAGAATTACCTTAGTATATGTTATTCAGAAAAGTTATAAAAAGTTTTTTAAATTAAATATTGTCTCAGTTTTATTGAGTTTTGTATTTCTACAATTGAGGTAAAAGTTTGGACAATTTTGCCCATTTTTTTACCAAAAAAATCGATGATTTAGAATCTTCAGAGTCTTGTGCATTTAATTGAAAAAACAAATTCAGGCTTTGAAAATAAATTTTTGAAGTTTTCATAAAATTAAGTTCGAGGGGTGTAACAGATATAAAAAAAATATATTTATACCATGACTTTCAAAAAGACAAACATTTCTAAAATAATTTCATTCATTTGTGAATAAGTTCTGAAAGTTTCATTAAAATCCAACAAGTACTTGATTTTTGCAAGATTTTCCAAATCAATGTGTTTTTTTCAACTGAAAACAGGGAAAAACAAGTAATGCTAATATTACCTAATTTTAGACCTAAAAAAACCAAGATTTTCAACCTAAATTTAAAAAATGCTGCAAATGAAAAAAATTTTTTTTAAAATAATTAAAAAATACCTTGGTCTTCCCTCTTTAATTTTAACATATACATTTACACGTTAAATTTTTTTTTTATCAATTTGAGGACTTTTTTCTCCAGGGTATACCACTTTTTTAGCGTTACCTGGGACAACGTAACGTACCGGTCAGTAGAGTAAAGTAGAGGTAGAGCATGTATGAAAATTTAGCTACAGCTAACCATTCAGCATAGTGAGAATCGAGGTCATTGGGGTGACATTTGAGTGGACCGCCCCGGGTGACGTTTACTCTAGCTACGCCACTGTGCAAAGGAGTTCATTTATTTCTAAAGAAGGTAATTTCCATATCCTATTTGAGATTCATAATCTGGCATTTATTAACCAACTATTTATAACATGAAAACATAGCTGAAGAGATTATTAAAAAACCTGGACTTACCATATAATTAGCTGTTTTCAGAGGTTGACTATTACCAAAAACTTGATGGAATCGGAAGTCTGCAACAAGAAGCAAAGGGCATGCTGACTTAGTCCCTGATACCTCCCTACGTTTTCGATCATGGAAACTGGCTGAAATAATACAAAAAACAAAATTAAAGTTTATAATAATTAACATTAGTTCAACAGGTAAAAAGTTTATTGTCTACTTGTATATATAAAAAAACAATAACATCAAATATGGTGCCAAGCAATCAGAAAAAATGAATGGTAAATTCGTATGGTCAAATTTGATCTACTGCCAACCATAAAAGTTCTTGTAACTCACATAGTAGAGCAGCTGTTACAACAAAATAGATTTCCTAAAGTAAAAACGAGATGAATACAAATCTTGCTGAGAGTTTATTCTGATTTATAGCTATAAACTGATGTTAATGATAATGTTAATATTAACTGTTTCTTAACAAGGAAACGTTTAGCATTCAGTGACAGAGAAGCAGTACAGCTTTCAGTTGAAATTTATAAAATCTTTCTTTTAAAGCAATTTTTCATGAAAACAAGTTTCTCAAAAACTAAATTAATTAGAATGTATTACACAATACAAACAAGAATTTGTTATATTTTATGTTTCTCAAAATCAACACAAACTTAACTGCAGCTTTCAAGTCGTGTTTATTATATTAAAATAAAAAATATATTTGGACTGGTTTCCTTAATTTTTCAACTTTGTACAATATTTTCTAATTTATCTTTGAGTATATTTTTTTTCAACAAAATCATTAGTTTGCGTCCAGTACAACTATGAATAATCATGTATAAATTGTTAAATTATCTAAAAAGAATGGGAACATGAATTGAAATAAATCTTCAAGTTAGCATATCTTTCAAATGAAATATTGCAACAATCACAAAAACATCTGTATAGTGCAGTTATGTAGAAGTGAAAAGTGACATGATGCTTATTTATATGGAAAACAGAACTGGTGAATCAAGGTAAGACTTTCACTGTGGTAAGTTTTGTTCATTACATATTTATACCTTTGGGAAATTTATGAATCTACCTTTTGCTGTGCTGTCATATCAACAGATATCTGGCAAATGGTTTATATTTTTTTTGCTATTAGTTGAAAATGGTTGATGAGAAGAGAGTGAAAACTTACATACACCATTCTCTTATTAAATCTTACCTGGAAAGACACAGCCAAAGGTATTACAACCACAACAAACTTTGAAAAGGCCACTTAATAGTCATGGATATTAACAAATGCTGTGTATGTTCAAAGACAAAGAGAAAATATTACAGATATAATTTAAATTGTGATCATTACAGAATTCTTTTGAAGTGTAGGCAATAAAAACTGATAAGAAAAAACTAAGAATGAATTGCCAATATAGATTAAAAAGAACTCTTGGCTGATTCCAAATATGTGTTTATAAAGATGAAAAATTTTAATTGTTTTTAGTGTGCATGTGTCAGCAGAAGATGAAAATTAGCTTTAAGGATATTTTTTGTTCTAAATTAATAAGACACAATTCAAAGAGTAAAGTTATGAGATTTCATGATTCAAGAGTACACTTAATTTTCAGTTCCACAAATTTTCAATCAACAAACCTTTCATCTTCAATCAATTACTGAGTTGGTTTTGTTAAACAGAAATACAGATAGTGTCATTTTAGTTTTTGAGTTTGTAGCTTAGGTGTTAAATGCACAGAAGGTACTGATGAATACAAGGAAGGAAATAATATTTAGTTTCTGAATTTTTATGCTCAAGTGCATTCATATTTAAATTCAGCTTTCCTTTTTATTGATTTTTCTCTCTACATCTGATGTCTACTAATTTCTGGTTTTCATCAGTATATAATAGTTTGAATTTATAGGAGCATTCTTATAAAAAAATGAAAATTGCTTACTACAGAATTTAATTAAAATTTTTCTTCAAATCAAAATTTAATGATATTGAAATAAAAATTGAAAGTTGAAAAATCTTGATTTTTCACCACTTTGTGAAATGATACAAATGAACTCTCTTTATTCATTTGTTATCTTCTAAAGTTTTGGGCCATAAAATATAGAGAAAAAGTTATCACATTTTGGAACACACATTAATCTGTGAAACTATTGCTTCACATATAAAGAAAAGAAAAGAAAATAATGACAGTAAACCTAAAAGCTTGTGACCAATAACAAACTTAGCATCAATGCTAGTAACCAAAAAATAAAACTGAAGAAGACCAGAGGGCATAATAGCTGAAATGTTGCGATTATAACAAAAACAAAGATATTAGTCTGAATATAAATAATGTAAATAAAGACAACTACTCATACCATAAATTCAGAAAATAAAACTAATTAAAATGTATTACCGAAACCAATCCTGGGAAGAATTTTACTTTTCTCTTCATTTCCACATTTGGTGAAGGCACTGAAATATAAAGAGTTACCTTTAGTAATATTTGTATATTCTTAAGAGTTTCAACAATATCAGTTCAATATTATATCATAGCTGAATTAGCCACGTCAATTCTGGCCACTTAACTTATCAAATACCATTGGTAAAATGAAATTGGATACGTTCTTAATTTATACAGTTTACAAAATATAAATGCCATTAAAACACATATTTCTTAAATTTTTAACTTATTTGTGTGTACACTATTGATGAAAATACCAATATTTTATTTTTCCTTGAAAGTTACTGTGAACTCAAAATATAAAATTACTGACTCAGCATGATTTTCTATTGACTTTTATTTGTTGTTCTTGGGATAACAATATATATTTTTATATATCAAGAACAGAATTAGGAAAATTGAGTGACAAAATAGAAAAAGTTTACTTGTGATGTGTTTCATTCTTCAGGACTTCATCAGACAAAATTTGTTATGTTGGTAGGACTATATATGCGTATGATATTCCCAGCACCCCTCTGTTGTGTGCATGTATAGTCCTACCAACATAACAAATTTTGTCCAATGAAGTCCTGAAGGATGAAATACATTTATTTTTCTTAAAAACCTCAGGGAAAAATTACACTTGCATTATTTTGTCTATGTGAAGACTGAAAAAATTAAAAAAGCATTTTTTACAACCAACAAGAAGGATTCCATATTTATAATAGTATTAACATGTGCAAAATTTGTCCTAATATCATTTGTAATAACCTTAATGTAACAGGTTATCTTATTTTTAAATAACAAAACTGATCTGAATGAAATCATTTAAATAAAGAAGCGACAACAATAAAAAGAAATAAAAATTAAATGTGGTTAAAATCCAAAATAATTGGTGTTGACATATGAATGATCAGCATTTTACAGTAATAGTTGAAAATGCATACAAGTGACCTCTTTCCCCATGAAAGTATTTACAATTTTGAAGATTTAATTGATTAAAAAGAAAACTGACTGATTACATTGGATTTCTGCCAGTTACATTAAATCACTCTAATTTTTTTCCTGGGTTTGAAGCTTTATTTGAAGTGAAACATTTTAAATACGAGAGGGAAAATTGTCTTGTCCATTTTCTTCCCAAACATTGACATAAGTGATAAAAGTAAACAGCACTTAACAGCAAAGGTTGAATACAATCATATTGTGTATCCTAAAATACTATATCTGGATACTAGAGAGACAGTAAAATAATAAAGTATGAATAGAGATACAATTATATAACATGGATTGATGAAAAAAAAATTCCATTAAAATATCTTTACACTTCTATATTCTATAACAACTTGAATATATTTTAGTGATTTCTTTGTGATGTCAAGTGGATGAAAGACACCCCAGCACACTTTTTGATAACAATAGACCGAATACTTAGTAGAAGATCAGTTTTTTGCTAGAAGCTTTTGCACAGCGCACACACACACACACACAAATTAACTTTTTTTATGCATGTGGTGGGGTTTGCTATGCAAGGATCAAATAAGCAAACTGTTCCATTTTATTCAGATGAAGTGCACTGAATCTTGTATCATTAAACCACATATAAATACTTGTTGGAATCTAAAGGCTTATTTACTCAAGGATGGCAACATCTTCCTCTATGAAAGTCACTTTGTTCTGCACAAATATAAACAAATGGCAGCCATTTGTACAAAATGGTTTGATTTTCAAAGTCTTAGATTGACAGTTATAGGTTGTAAAGCTGAATTGATTAAAAAAAGAGAAGAGCTCACAAAAAGTAAAACGATATTAGAAATTGCAAAAATGATTTGCAGGTTGTACCAAATATTTATAAGTCTACAATTTGACATTGCTTTGAATATTCCTACCATATCTTGTCTAGTGCTCCTGCTATATATTTAGAGATTCTTTGTAACTCCCAAAGAAGAATCAGCAATATCATTGGTCCTGACCTGGCATCCCAGCTTCAATCAATTTCCGACTGCTGTAATGTATCTTCCAAGTGCATTTTCTATAAATACTTTCATGATAATTGTTCTAATAAACTTTCCTCTATGGTACCTAGACATTATGAATTTAAGTACAGTACTGGATTGGCAGCAAGATTTCATAATTTTACATGTGAAATGGCAAGATGTAACTGTAAGTTCTATACTAACAGTTTCTTCTATCACACTTCTCACTTGTGGAACTTTCTTCCAGCTTCTTGCTTCCCAGTCAACTTTGATCTTCAAAAATTTAAGTACACTGTTAATCATTATCTACTGTCTTGTTAATTTTTGTTCTTTTATAGTTCTCTCTCTCTCTCTCTCTCTCTCTAATTTTTTTATTTGCCAAGTTGTTTCTTTTGTTAATTTTTATCCTTGACCTTCCCTCTTTGTCCGTTTGCTACCACACAAACTCATTATTTTATACCATGTATGGTTGAAAGAGTAACAAACGAAAACAACAAAATATTGCCGGTGAGATGGAAAGTAAAGGAGACAGAATATGTTAAAATAAAATTCTCTGTTATACCAATCTAAAGGATGAAGGAAAAATACTTCTATGGGTGAGGGAAGTGACCTGGAAGATGGGGAATTGGTAGATCCTAGCATTGAAGCTTGTGTCAAGTTAGTTGACTGAGAGGCCACTTTTGAATTCTGTGACTGCCTGCCTACTCTGTTGAGTGTCACTGACAGCATCCTTTTAAGCAGTCAGGGTGGATACAGGACTCAGCATTTTTTATCATGCTTTTGCCTTAGTGACATTGACAGTGTTTGTGGTCCAAATATTTAGATTTTATTTTATATTTTGGGGGATTTGTTTTATGAGACAGGTGTGATGCTCAGAGCTCATTTGACTTTTTATTTCTAACTTTGCTTTCATAATATTCATATGCAGTTAACAGGTTTTGATGTGGAGTGAATCAGAAAGAGATCTAATTTGAAGCTGACTATAACATTAATAAATATGTTAATTGCTGTTTTCTCTTGCATTTGTCTACAGTATATCCTGTGAGTATTAATCTCTCTAGGCTCTCTTTCCTCATTATGTATTCCAGAAATTTCAGTTATCTCTTTCTGATTGTAAGTATAAGTTTTATGGAATTTAAAAGGTTGGTGTATTTTAGGTGTGCATGTTCACATGTAAACAATTAAAGAAGAAGCATGCAAAAACTTGGGTTTTTACTTTGAACTATTTATTTTCTTATTTTTAATATAAACCGTAATGAAATAAAGTTCTCAATGTCTCCTGGGTATGTTCGTTTTCTTTTTCTTCTCCAGAATTAGAGTGAGTAAGGATAAGCATTGTTATAATGGCCAAGCTTGCACAGAGTTGGAATGACCAAAGAAAAGTTTGTACTTACTTCATCAGTAATTATAATGGTCAAGCTTAAGTCAGTCTTGCACTGAGTTGAAACACTCAATGTAAAACTTGTCTAACTTTATCAACAGAATTTTGGCAAAACACATACAAATGCTATGTGGTGGAAAGTGGAAAGAGTTTCTTTTCATGATCCGTTTTTGGAAGTGGTGTTTTCTTTTTAGTTCCAAATCTAGGGTAAGGGTAAGCAGTGTTATAATGGTCATGCTCAAGTGAGCCTTGTGCAGAGTCAGAATGACCAAAAAAAAGTTTTTATTTCAATGTTGGAGGCTTGGCATGGTTATAATGGCTGCGCTCAAGATAGCCTTGCACTGAGTTGGAATGACCAAAGAAAAAGTCGATTTACTTCATAGGTGGAGGTTTTGAAAGATACGTGCAAACACTATGCATTGGAAAATGGAGAAAGAGTTCAGTCATCAGTAGACTGGAGAAAGGAACATGTCTCAAGAAGGACATATTTTTTCCCACATACTGCTACATCTTGGAGCATGAAGGAGAAAGAGGAAAGAAATGTTTGTTTTGTTATAGACTTAAACAGCACCACCTAATGGGGATTTGACAAAATCAAATAGGGTAATCATATTTCCAGTTCCTTTACTACAAGAATCATGGGAAAATTTATTTTTCTTTTTTATTATTCATTATTATTTCATTTATTGATTTGATTTCTTTTTCCCACAGCTTCCTTGTATTTCCTGCTTTCCTTGTTATGTTTTCTGTTCATTCTTAACATACATCAGTAAAATCACATCTGTCACTTCAAGTCTCTTCTTCATCTCAAATTGTTCAGAATTCACTGTCATGAAGGAGATTAAATATTATATAGCAATTCAGTACTCTCCTTTGTTTATAGAAATATTTTTCTTGAGAAGACCAAAGATGCATTTTAAAAGCTAGGCAGAGTATTACAAGACAAGAAGATTTTGTTGGTAACAAAGAAAAGAGTACTGAACTGCTACGTGACATCTGTCATCCTTTACAGCAGCAAATGGTAGACATGAAGAAGAGACTTGAGGCAATGGAGGTATGGTTCTACAGAAGGATGCCAAGGATACCATGGATCAAACATGTGAGCAATGATGAGGTTTTGGAGAGGATGCAAATAAGGAAGAAGCTTATACTTAACATCAGGAAGAGGAAGTTGACTTTTCTGGGACATGTAATGAGAAAGGAAGTCTTGGAGAATCTGATACTCACAGGGTGAATAGAGGGAAAGAGAGACAAGAGAAAGAAATGTGTAGCATACTTTGTGGGCTTAAGCAAGTGTATGGCAGAACAGGGTCTGGGAAAAGTAGCAAAAGGACAAAACATATTGAGAACTACAAGGGATGGGGGGAAGTGAAGAGCCATCATCGCCTACATCCTGAAGGGACACAGCATATAAAAGAAGAAATTTCTGGAAGACATTTTTCACAACTATGAGTTTTGATTTCCATGTCATATTTTTCTGTACCTGCTTGATTTTGTCATCCTCAATACATAGCACACACCTCAGACTGTTTCTTTTTCTGTCAATCATACATTCTGACTTCTTACAGTTAATCTTTTTTCTTGCTTTCTTTTACTGCTTCGTATTAGAGTTGTTTTAGTTTACCTTTTGAGTCTGCTATCGACACAGCATATCATATATTGTAAAGATTATTTCCCA